TAAAAAACTAATAAAAAATTAATCCAAATAAATAAACGAACAAATTAACAAATCGTCCCCACTAAAATAACCATTAGAACTAATAAAAAATAAGCAAAAAAAGTAAAAAAACATCAATCCAAATAAATAAATTAAAAAACTGTCCCCCCGCCAAATTAACAGAATAGACTATGGCAAGCAATCTAAACATAGGATGAATAAATAGCTTTAATTATCTTCCCAGACCTAAACAAACTATTAAATAAGTGACCTAAGCAAATCCCACCTCCCAAATTCTTACTATGTTAATAAAACATCAAAAATGAAAAGAACAAATAATACAAAATGAAAAACAAGTAAAATAAATTAACCCAAACAAATAAATAAATAAACAAACAAGCCATTATCGTAAAATAACTGTCAGAATAGATTACCCACAATGCAACACTGACCCATATATATAAATAGCCATCTCTTCTACTCCAATAGCTTCATATCTTGCACCTCTCGCCTGTGGAACACCATTCCCTATTACTGTTTCCCTGAGAGCTATAATCGCCAACTATTCAAATGTAATGTCAATCGACATCTCCAGTTACCTTGATCTGTCGACTATCATTCTCCTCATCCTTTCTTCTATCACTCCTATCTGCTCTCGCTCCAAATCTTCTGCAACCCCTGTATCCTAGTGGCTTCCCACCTTGCTTGGGGCGTAATGCTTTAAAAAAAAATATCCAGCATTCGCGGCCTGACGATTGCATCCAGCATGAAACAGCCTGTCACCTCTGAGTGTTGACTTCAATGTTCACGTTTATATTTATATTTACATACACTATATTTCTGATATTGAGCACTTTATCTCATAAGTATAGCACACCTTAAAACTATATTTCTTCATATATATATATATATATATATATATATATATATATATATATTTAGTTTATGCAAATTTAGGTAATCCGTATGGGTAGACCTGAGGAGGACGATATCCAGAGGGCTCAATGTAAAATTCAGAGCAGATATGTTTGAATAAAAGACAGACCACGTTAAGATTCCATGTAATAAGCTATTTCACCATAACCCTTTAACAGGATTCTGGATCATCAGACTTTACTTTCAAAAGCTGAAAAAAAAAATGAAAAAGAAATTCACACGTTTTTACGGACCTCATCAAGTATACGCAAAGTTAACGAAGTGAGGAAGTGAGGTGGGAGAGAGGATATGAGTGTGTCATATGTATCATTTTAGTTTCCTATTTTAACCCCAGTGTGTCGGCTGGATGCTGCTCAAATCTAACACGTCTTGTCTCTAGATAAAGGTGGTTAAGGGGTGAGCGATAAGGACTACATTAAGGAAGACGTTACAATAACCCCAATAAATTACACGACAGGTAATCCAATTTATATTTAGTACTTTTCCACTAAAACTTTTTTATCTTATAGCTTGTTAGGTTGACATTTATTCTTTTGATTTTTGTTCATTAAGTAAACTCGTGATTGTTTTTGATTTTTGTTCATTAAGTAAACTCATGGTTGTTTTTATGTATCCAATTATCAACAGTTATTCCCATTTAAATAATTTTGTTTTCCACATTGGGGTAGTATCTTTCAATCTCAATTAAAATACTAGTCTAAGACTTTCCCTTCGTGCTATTTAGAATTCACTTCCAATTGGAGAATATTAGAGGAGAAATTTGGAAGAGATGTAACTAGCAGAAAATTAGGCCCTCCTTTTACATTTTCTTATCTACACATGCCTTAAACCCCTATTTGTAACCACATACCTATATTGTCTTATATGCCTATGAGTTCCTATATGCACCTACACACACATTTACATGAAACGATATATGTATATTTCCATCTTTACACATATACACCTGCAGAGAAAATGCACATCCACATGTCTCCATACCTATCTCCATGTATACTTATACTTACATATATACATATACACCCAAGGACATCTGCATATCCATATATACTCATACGCACATATATATATATCTACACATCCATACGCATACACATATACACATACATACACATACCCATATATGTATACGTACATACATACATATACATACACACACATATGCATACGCAATCTGCAGAATATCTACATATTCACATATGCGTTAATTTGCACTTACATATATCTACCCACATATTTGTCCCTATTTTCATCTCCACTTGTGCATCCACTTATGCCTGCGTTCGAAGACTATCTCAGTATTTAATTACATTATCTATGTTTTTACACCTATAATATTACCCGATCTTTCATATTTATGGCAAAACATATAAGTACCTAACTAATTGTACATCTCCACACTCACAAAAAAAAAAAAAACTGGTATGCTTCTTTTTCCGTATAAAAACATATAAATGTACATATCAACAGGTGTCTCAGTGTGCAAATACATTATCATAGTTGTATGCATACAGTCATGTGTTAGCGTTCACGTGTGCATAGTAATATTTCTAAAAACAAAGGGAATATAAGACATTCAAAATTGCTGTTCCTATATGATTATTTCTTAGTGTACTTGCTTAGGTTTAGGTTGTTTTTGTGCCGGCATTTAAAAACTAGTTCATTGTGTCTATTTAGTAGTATGTCTGGATCTTTATGTTTGATTATGAAGATTTTCTCCTTCAAACATAAGTTGCATCTGTCTCTGAAGTTTTAGGGAGTTCTGGCTCTTGATATTATTCTCCACTTTATTTGTGGTGTTAGGCCACTCTCCAACAAAAACCAATAATGATTTGATAGTGCTGTTTGTTTTTTTTTACATTTATTTTTGAAGGATTGGTGATGGTTGTATAGTCTTAGACTAGTATTTTAATTGAGATTGAAAGATACTACCCCAATGTGGAAAATAAAATTATTTAAATGGGAATAACTGTTGATAATTGGATACATAAAAACAACCATGAGTTTACTTAATGAACAAAAATCAAAAACAATCACGAGTTTACTTAATGAACAAAAAATCAAAAGAATAAATGTCAACCTAACAAGCTATAAGATAAAAGTTTTAGTGGAAAAAGTACTAAATATAAATTGGATTACCTGTCGTGTAATTTATTGGGGTTATTGTAACGTCTTCCTTAATGTAGTCCTTATCGCTCACCCCTTAACCACCTTTATCTAGAGACGAGACGTGTTAGATTTGAGCAGCATCCAGCCGACACACTGGGGTTAAAATAGGAAACTAAAATGATACATATGACACACTCATATCCTCTCTCCCACCTCACTTCCTCACTTTGTTAACTTTGCGTATACTTGATGAGGTCCGTAAAAACGTGTGAATTTCTTTTCATTTTTCCTTTCAGCTTTTGGAAGTAAAGTCTGATGATCCAGAACCCTGTTAAAGGGGTTATGGTGAAATAGCTTATTACATGGAATCTTAACGTGGTTTGTCTTTTATTCAAAAATATATATATATATATATATATATGCACACACACAAACACACGTGTGTGTGTGTGTGTGTGTAGAAGGCAATCCTATCTTTTTTATATCAGTTGTGCTTATTAAATTATATATGTAAATACACATAATAATACATAATGGTAGATGGAAATAAATAATGTTACTGTTTGATAAATAAAAAATGGAGCATGTAATCAAATACCAGAATCCATTTAAAAAAATGAAAAATAGCATTTAAATAAATAAATTAAATAATTTGTTGGATTTAATCCATTTCATATAAAATATATATATTTTAACTGTTTTTGGCAATGTCCTAGGGGTTTTAATCTGAATTGGTTAATCATTTTACCACACAGGGTCTTCTTTCAGACAAAAAAAATGTTACTTTTTGCTTCTCTAGGTCAACTCTTAATGTGTTTACTAAAGAGTCTATCAAGCTTCATATTAGAATAGTGAAGCATGTGATACTGCTTTTGATATCTCAAAAGCATTTGACAGGGTTTGGCATGTTTATCTTAGGATATTTCTGAACAAATTTTTGATTTGATTCAAATACCTCATCATGAAATGAAAGTTGTTTTGAATGATCAGAATTCTATATATTTTTACATTAATGAGGATGCTCTCCAGGGTTCTATGTTTTGACCTACTTAATTCCTAATTTTTATCAATAACCTTCCTGATGTCATCAGTTCTCGAATTGGTATCTATGCTGATGACATAACTATTTACTCCTGTCTTAATAATTGGTCTGATTGGTATGATTAGGTCAAATTGGCAGCTGATTTTAAAAATGTCCGACAGTTAATTGAGAAGTGGCAGTTTGTTAATTTTAATGCCTCCAAAATGAAACAGTTTTCTTTTAATCATCTGAGAAACTTTTTTGTTATATGGCTGTTGCTAACCTTCAAGAGAGTGATTCATTACACCTTTTTGGTTTAAAATTTTTCACTGACATGAAGAATGTTAAACATTTATAAATGTACCATTTATTCATGCATTGAATATTGCTGCACTGTATTTAGTGCTTCCTCAGAGAACCCAAAGAAATTGCAAGAAAAAAAGAAAAGAAAGAAAAATATACTGACCTGACATCTCAGCTTCAGTCACTTTCTCATTGCTGTAACATAGTTTCCGTGTGCCTTTTCTATAAATATTTTCATAATAATTGTTCCGATGAACTTTCCTTTTTGGTACCTAGATTTTATGAATTTAAGTGCTGTACTAGATTGGCAATTAGGCCTCATCATTTTATAGTTGAAATGACTAAATGTAACCTTAAATTCTATGCACTTCTTGCTTATGTAACTTTTTCCCAGCTTCTTACTTTCCAGTCAACTTTGATCTTCAATCATTTAAATTCCTTGTCAGTTGTCATCATCTTTTTCCTTAATTTCTGTTCTTTTATTGTCTTCTCTCCTGAATAATGTTTATTTTCCCCCAGATTCTTTCACACTCAGTAACCCCTTACGTCTTACTTGGCATGAAATCCTTTAAAAAAACAAACAAAAAAAACATTATTTTCATTTCTTGTTGACTATTTAAATTACTTATCTTTCTTCAGTTTTCAACTCACCATGACTATTTTCTCTTTTTTGTCTTTCTCTTCATTCTATGAAATGGTTTTAACTTTCCTAAATCTATTTCTCCATCTTTTAGCTCTTAAAAACAGTCTTTGTTTTCTTATTCTTTCTTTCTTTTCTATTTTTTCTTTCTTTTCTATTTTTTCTTTCTTTTCTATTTTTTCTTTCTTTTTTTTATTCTTTCCTTGTTTCTTTCTTTTATTTTTTCTTTTCTTATTTTTTCTTTCTTTCTTTCTGTATTCCTTCTTTCTATTATTTTTTCTTTTATTTTTTTCTCATTTTTTCTTTATAACTTTAAATGATTTTTTTCAGTTACCTAACCTTTTCTTATTTTTATATCATACATTATTTTTACTGTCTTGTATTTCTTCTTCCCCATTCTTTTCTGGATTTTCCTTTTTACTTTCTTTTATGCTGACCTCAGAAATCATTCTTTTTTATTTTCCTTTCTTACAAATCCAAATTTATATTTATTTTATTCACCTTTTTTTGCCTCATTGTGTTGAGCATTTTTTATCATTTTATTTTTTGTTCTTTGTATTTTTTAAGTCATTGGTTTTCATTTTTTATTAATTTTCTTTTATCTGTTCCTCAATTCTTTCCATTTTTCTTTGGTAAATATTTTAAGTCTTAATTTTTTGAATTTCAGTTTTCTGTTGATTTCCCATTTTTTTCTTTCTTCAAAGTTATTTTCTTTTCCTTTTACACTTATTTTTTTCTTTTCATTATTTCCTTTTTTCAATTTGATTTCTTCAGTTTTTCTTTTTTTTTACATTATTTATTCCTCATATCATTTTTAATTTTATTTTCTTCTTTCCATTCTGAAAAAACTATTCCTGCATTATTCTTTTCTTTCACCTTTCCTCTTTTATTCAATTCTTTTATATTTTCTCTTTGTCCTTCTGTTCGTCCTAATTTTTCCCCTCATATTTGAGAATAATACTACACAATCACGCATAGTAACTCCACCTATTTTTTCATCTTAACACGTAACCAAGTTCATGTATGCAAAGTACCAAGAACAGGTTTGAACCTGTAAATTCTTTGGAACCTATACCTCTGATAAAACGGTCAGGCTCCATTTAATCTGAACCTTATAATGCAACCATAACACCAGCAAAGCTGACCATGACGGTTGTGTGCAGATGTCGGAAATAATACAGCCAGTTTTATTGTTCTTAGTTATCAGTTTATAGTTACCGCTCAGGGCTGATATGAATGGTCACTCAGCACTTCTAAGTGCAACCGTGATGTCTCTTGTTTTGCAAACAATGACATTGTTGACCATAATGGACAGTAAAAGTGAAGGAGTGTAAAGTTGTAACAGGTGGTATAGTCAGGCTGTCACCTTACAGCAGGACCAGTATATTTGTGTATGCATGTGCCTTTGTACATATCCCTATATATACATACATATATATGGTGGTTCTGAAAAGTTCTAAGTCCAACCAATTTCCCAAAATCTACCGAAATGAACAAACATCAGTGTTATATTTTGTTTTTTTAAAAGGTTTTAAAGTCAGACCAAGAATTTTTCAATTGCTCTCTTTGTTTACTTTGTTGTGTGTGTTTATAGAAGTTATCATTAACATCAGTTTTTGTGTATTAATAAATAATGAAAGGTAACTTTCAAACCTAGGGTATGCAATCCATTATGGCCATTAATGACTACAAAAGAAATCTGAGAGAATATTAAGCTCAACAAATAATGGCATTTTTTTTAATTCAGTATCACCCCATGCAAAGGAGTAAAGCCACTAAGACACAAGGGATTAATGGGTGTTGACAAATTAGGAACAGAAACTGTGGCATAATGTAACTGTATTAAATTACAGGTGGGGAATGAAGAGAAGAGGAAGTCTTTGATTGTCTGTTTTGATGTCCAAACTTGTTAACACATAGAATTTAAAATTGTTCCTCTTCTCATCGATGTTTCGTTTTTATAGTGAAGACAGATACCATTTCTTGACAAGGGAGGTAACTGTGGATTACTTCACAGAAACTTCAATAATGAGCTAGAAGAGGAAAGAGTAATCAGAAGGACAGGAGATAGTGATTGACATTGCATTAAATCTTTTGCAGATTGAAGTTGGCTGGAAAGCATGAAGCCGAAAGGAAGTTCCACAATTGAGAAGTGCAGGAAAGGAAACTTTTAGCTTAAGATTTATGGCTACATCTTGATGTGATTGTGATGCCAGACTAATATTGTGTTTAAATTAAAAAAATGTAGGTACCATAGCAAGGTGCTCATCTGAACAATTACCATGAAAGTATTTATAGAAAAGACACAGAGTAGCAACCTTATGGCAGTGAGCAAGTGACTGAAGCTGAGCCACCAGATCAAGACCTATAATATTCTTCTTTGGATTTTTTCAATGAACTCAAGGGAAATAACAGCAGGGGTACCAGACCATATGTGGCAGCAATATTCTAAGTTTGGGTGAATAGTAGACTTAAGGATATGTCATAGATTCTGGAGAGAAAAATTGTCTCACATGACACAGTGGACCAACTTTCTTAGCAGCTGACCTTGCAATGGATTCCATATAGTCTTCCAACTTTATGTCAGCTGAGAATGTTAGCTGTTCAAAGCTGATTTATCTGTAAATTAATTTTTTGTTCGTTGTTGGCAAATTAATTGATCATGTTGTTGTCAAATGTATGAGAAATAATCTTCTTTCATCTTTTACAAAAGAAAACAGTAGAGAACTCAATTTTTTTTCTTTTATCTTATCTCACTCATTCAATGTTAATTCCTGTAACGACTTTCACTTAGTTCTTACATATTCTCTGTGCTTGTGCATAAAACAGGCATGGGACCGGTGTACAAAAATAGTGATTTTCTTTGCTAAGACTACTAATGTTGTTTATTCACAATTTGTCATATGGAGTGACCATGATTGCAAGATGGGATAGTAAAAATTAGCAATAATTAATTTTTTATGGCACAAAAAATTATTTATCCTGAAAAAAAAAAGTAAGGTAGACAGTGTAATGAAAACTGTCTAGTAATCGTTTATTCAATTAAGAATACTACTACTCATCTGACTTGACAGCGGAAGTATACAGCTTTTATAGCTTGGATTATCTAAGAGGAGATAATCCATATTCAGAACATTCTCCCCCACCAAATTTCTCACTGATAGGGAAGAAAGTCCCTTAAATGTCCAGGCTCCCTACGAGTTCGCAGTGGCCGCCTCGGCAGTCCATGATTCATGGTCGGAGTACTCGAACAGGGAGGCTCTTCAGTGCGAGCCTGTCTGTGGGCTCTAAAATACCTTGCTCCAAAATGTTTCCTTCTCAGAGGAGCAGGCCGTTCCGCGTCAGAGTCAGTCTCTGGATGAACACGTTTATTCGGTGCTAGCCCTTCATCTGTCAGGGTTTCAGGTGTTGGCCCATCCGAAGTGTCTGACGGGGCCTCAAAGGAGACAGTGTCGTCAGACGGCGTGTCAGGAACAATTTCAGTGCCATGATCTTCTGGAGGGGCTTCAGTGTCAGGGGTAGTTGGTCTGTCCTCAGGGGCTATCCACGGTCCGGGTACGTCTCCGGCCGGTGCTAGGTCCCTGAGAGACACATTAGACTCTCTACCATCTGCATGTCGTACTAGCGCGTACCGAGGGTTCGCCTCTATAAGCTCTACCTCGTCCACCAAGGGATCGTTCTTGGTGTAACGTGCATGTTGTCTCAGAAACACAGTACCGGGTCGAGAGAGCCAAGATGGAAGCGAAGCTCCCGCCGAACTCCGTCGCTGAAAAGGTAGAAACCTTTCGTGTGGGGTGGCATTTGTGGCGGTACACACTAGGGAACGAATGGCGTATAATGCGACAGGAAGGAGATTTTACCAATTATCAATTGAACATCCGTTATTTGAGGCAGCCAATTGAACGGTCTTCCAAATAATGCCGTTATATCTTTCGCATTGGCCGTTACCCTTAGGGTTGTAGGGAGTTGTCCGGCTTATAGCTACTCCTCGTTCCTGTAGAAATTGCCGAAGCTGCTCTGACATGAAAGAAGCCCCTCGGTCCGAATGTATATAGGCAGGGGCTCCAAAGATGGCGAACAGTGAGCAGAGGCATTGTATAATTGCAGCAGCCAATATGTCTGAACAAGGGAAGGCAAAAGGAAACCGTGAATATTCGTCGATAACCGTTAATATATATATCTGTTCCTTGTTTTACTTAGTAGCGGTCCTTTAAAATCAAGATTGAGTCTTTCCAACGGTTGTGTTGCTTTTATTAAAACGCCAGTTTGGGGTTTATAAAACCGAAGCTTTATTTCAGCACACGCTCGACAAGAATTTGTAATTCTTTTTACCTCCTCCACTGAGAAAGGCAAGTTTCTACACCTCACAGCATGAACCATTCAAGTAATGCCCGGGTGACAGAGATTGTTATGTAGCATTCGGAGTTCGTCCCCGCTTGATGCCGTACAGCATGCTCTTGACAGTGTATCAGCTGTTAAGTTCTCCTTGCCAGGTCGGTAGCTGACGTCAAAGGAGAAACAAGATAGCTCAATTCTCCACCTCGCTATTTTCTCATTCTTTATTTTACTCGTAGTTTTAGAGTTGAACATAAAAGCAACTGATTTCTGGTCAGTAATAAGTTTAAAGTGGCGTCCGATCAGGTAGTGTCGCCATTTTCTTAATGCCTCGACTATGGCGTAGGCTTCCTTTTCAATTGCGGGGTGTCGTCGTTCAGCCTGTGAGAGGGTCCTTGAAAAGAAGGCTACAGGATGATCAGCTTGTTTCAAAGAAGCAGCAATAGCACAGTCTGACGCATCCGTTTCAACAACCAGAGGAATATTTTGGTCTATTGTTGTAATTGCAGATTTCGCAATATCCTTTTTCAGTCCCTCGAATGCCTCAACGGCTTGATGGGACAGAGGAAACGTCTCTACTTGTGTCAATGGATGTATCTTTTCTGAGAACGAAGCAATCCATTGAGAGTAATGAGCAAACATGCCCATAGCACGTCGAAGGGAAGGCTGGTTGTGAGGGACAGGCATCTGGAGTAAAGGTTTCAATCAATCTGCGTCTGGTGCCATAAAACCTTTGCTTATGGTATACCCCAGTAGGTTTATTTTGTCCAGTCCAAACGAGCATTTGTCGTCGTTTAGGGTAAGGTTGTATTTATCGACAGCGGACATGAACCATCTGAGATTTTCGTCGTGTTCCTTTCTATTATGGCCACATACTGTGACGTTGTCGATGTACGCAAATGTGCCTTCCAGTTTCTCATCTGTTATGATTTGGTCGACTATCCTTTGGAAGCTGGCTACCCCATTCGTAACGCCAAAAGGAATCCTGCGAAATTGATATAGTCAACCGTTCGCCTCGAAAGCAGTGTATGGCTTGTCTCTAGGTCTAATGGCGATCTGATGGTATGCGCTTATCAAGTCCAGAGTGCTAAATATACGATATTTGGCTATTTCGCCTATCATTTCATCTATCCTGGGTAGTGGGAAGGCGTCCAATAGAGTAAATCTATTTATGGTTTGGGAGTAATCTATAACCATTCTCTTTTTATGGTTGCTAGAAGTGGTTATAACTACCTGAGCCCTCCAGGGTGATTTGCTAGGCTCAATTATACCCTCCTCAAGTAGTCTTTTATCTCAGAGTCAATGAATTTTTATTATTATAAGAAAAACGTCTGCTTCTCACTGCTATGGGTTTGCAGTTTTCAGTTAGGTTTTCGAAAAGTGACGGGTACTGGATTTTTGCTGTCGCCAATCCACAAATTTTCAATGCGGGCATTGAACCGCCAAACGGAATTTCAACCTGTGAGTGTTGCTGCAAAAAATCGTGTCCCAGTATTATTTCGCAACAAAGGTTTTTCATTATGGATAATTTAGTGGTTTTATAGGAGACGTCATTAAATAGTAAGTCCACTAAACAGTAACCACTTACTTGCGCAGACAATGACGCGTTTGCCATTGTTACTCTGCTGGGGGAGGGGACAAAATACAATTTGTTTGATAAGCTTTCTTTGATAAAATTTCCTGAGCTCCCGGTATCGAGCAGGGCATTTATAGACCTCCCATTAATTTTCACTTTTACAATAGTTTTTGAAAGGCAGTCGGGGGAGGTGGCTAAAGTTGCAGAAGTATTTTGACGAGTGGATTTGTATAGAGTTTTAGAAGACTTGCATACCTTTGAAAAATGACCAAGTTTTCCACATTTATGACAACGAGTATCTCTGGCAGGGCATGAGACTCGTAGGTGTTTAGATAAGCCGCAAAAATAGCAAGTGTCCTTTTTTAAAGTGGCAGTGACCGATTGTTCTTCAAGCTTCGTCGGACTATTGTCATGAGGGGGGACAGTAAGAACAGGTGGGTTTAACGCGGCACCCACGGTGTCTGGCTCTAAATAAGAACTAGACTGCTGTATAGCACTTTCGAAGATATAGGCTTGCTCGTAAGCTGTTCTAAGTGTAAGGGTCTTATTCTCAAGAAGACGTTGTCTTATCTGAGTATTGCGTAAGCCGTTAATGAAGGCGTACAAAATGTGTAGCTCTTGGGCCTCTAATGCCGTCATTGGGCAGAAGTTGCAATCTTTGCTCAGTGTCCGAAGGCTCTTAAGGAAATGGTCCAATGTCTCGCCTGATTCTTGTTGGCCAGTCGCAAGTAGGTGTCTAGAAAATATCTCATTTTGGGGCTTTATGTATGTAGCATTCAGTACATCGATTGCTTCTTCGTAGGTAACGCAATCCGAGATAATTTCGTTGACCGTGTGAGACAGGTAGTTGGTTAGGAGCGCATGCTTATTGATTGGACGTCCCGGTCTTTCTGAATGTAGAACCTCGATGAAATTTGTAAATGTCTCCCGCTAATGTTTCCAGCACTTGTCGGCTGAATCGCTTTCTGGATCTGTGGTAAGTCGCTCAGGTCGCATAAATTGTTCCATTCTTAATTGAATAAAATGTAATGAAAACAGGACAAGAGATTCTGTCTAGTAATCGTTTATTCAATTAAGAATACTACTACTCATCGATATTGAGTCACCCACCCACGAGGGTGTCATGTGGCACAAGGCCTTTTTAACGTGGGCATTCCCGAGCCATGAGGCTCGGCCAAAAAATAGCCCATTTGAACCCGTATAAACGGGTCCAGGGCCGGTCCCACCTCCCCGAAGGAGACTCCGCCCCTCGGCGCAGCCTCCCTCAGGTCAGAATACCACTACTCATCTGACTTGACAGTGGACGTATACAGCTTTTATAGCTAGGATTATCTAAGAGGAGATAATCCATATTCACAACAGACAGATCAGGCATTTACCACTTGTATTAAGCTTAGAGCCATATCATGTTGAAACACTAGTTCCCATATGTCCACCAAAGTTAAGCATCATCAAGCCTATCAGTACCTAGATGGGTGACCACTTGGGAATAACGGGTGCTGTAAGCTTGGATATACGGGTGGTGTAAAGGATAATGGCTTGGAATTGGTAATCAGAGAGCCATGTTCCAATTCTACATCACTTTACTATATTTACTTACAAATACCTTCAGAAAAGGTATACATCCACCTTTTCTCCCCCAGCTATGGGTTAATTAGTAAGGCTTGTATCACTAAATCATTATTGTCTAAAAATATTTGCTTTAAATAACCTGCAAAGAGTTGATAAGTCATAGAAAATTAATCCATCATTCAAACCACTTGCTCATCAAGCAACTGTCCTCAGATTTTCTCCTAACACTTGCTGCTACCCAAGGTATGAGACCCCAGTCAGTTCAAAAGCTGTCAATTACATTTCTGTTGCCAATAAACTACCTGTATATCCTCATTAATTAAGCCAAAAAAATAAAAATAAAAACATATGAAAAGACATTAAAGGAATAAAAAAGAAACATAAGCTGTATTTGGTTCTGATGAATACATTTAAATGATAATATTTTCTTGGGAACTTTATATTTTCTCATTTATCACTATTTATATATCTATCTATATCTATAATTCTCAAAATGTGTGTGTGTATGTATGTATGTGTGTGATCAGATGTTGTTTATGCATTTCCACAGTTTTCATCTGATTTTGATGAAATTATTTTTGTTTGATAGATAATTCTTCAGTGCCAGCTTTGGGTTCAAACTGGCTGGAAAAAATTACTACCTTGATGGTGAAAAATTGAAAAAACTAATTTTTTACACTTTGCACAAAAATCAAAGGAAAAATTTAATGTCTGTTAAAAACAGCGTACAATCAATTTAGAGAGTTGAAATTTAACACAAAAGATTATTAGAATTATAAAAAAAATTATAAATAAAAATGATTGTATATTATTATTATGACAGTCCATGGAAGAGTTTCCTTCCTTGCAGGATTGAGAATGCAAAAACGGCCCTTTTCAGGGCCATCCCCCATTCAAATTGTAACCCCCCCTCCCATTTGGGGATGTGCCTCAGTTGCACCCAATTGTTGTTACTCACATTGATCTTTGGGTAGGCTGATTTAAACTTAAACTGCTCCAATTGAACAGTAAAAATTCCCAGTAATGAAACACCCTGTTATACTGCTGGTATATAATTTCTGTGTTGAGGTATTATAACTATTTACACTATTGACATTATTTGGACAGTTGTCTCCACCTTTATTGTCATATTCATAATGTTTCAGCCAGTGTATGCTCCAACCTACTTCAGGTGATATACATTGGAATAATAATTTCTTGGGAAATTTTTTTTTTCATTTCTTCCTTTATATATATAATGTTAAATACTAAAAATATCCTTCCTAGGGCAATGGCACTTTGTCTTTTTCAAAGTATTCACCTTGAAACATCACACAATGATTCCAGAGCCATAGCATATTTCAAAATAATATAATGTCTGCTTTCAGGACTGCTGTCAGCTGCAAAATTACATTCTCCAAAATCTTGTCTGCAGTCTAAAACCTTTTTGTGGTAATTTTAGTTTTGGGGAAAACCAGAAGATGCATTGAACCAAATCTGTACTGGCAAGAGGCAGACGTACTTAGGTGATGCAAAATCATCCAAGCATGATACATGAAGAATGAACAAGCCCAATCTCATAATGAATACACTGGTCACATAGTAGAGAAGCTCATGTATTGGCATCTCACTTCTTACTGAATAACCTAAGTGTTTTTTCTAGCATATGAAGTAAGGTTACTTCCTAATTGCTTCACATGTTATATTAAGGATATACTTGACAAGGAAAACATTATGCTGAAAGGCAATTGTTGTTGAATTGTTTTCTCAATTTTTGTGCTTGTTTTTGTGAACATACATATATATATATTTATATATATATATATATATATATATATATATATATATATATATATAAAGGGTGTTTTATTAAGACAGATTATATATAAGGGTGTTTCATTAAGATGGATCAAAATCAGCAGTAAATAAATCAGTGTTATTGGTGAAAATTTATTTATTTTTCAATTGGATGATGTTATTTAAGTCGTGGTAATTATGTGTGAGAAATATTGCTCAAATGTCTGCCAAATCTGAAAGAAAAAGAAAAGATCATTATACACTTAAACTTAATTCACATTTAAAATCAGTTCCAAGTTATTGGAACTCCCTTTACACACACACACACACACACACACACACACACATACATATATATAAATGTATGTGTGTGCATCTCTCTCTCACTATATATATATATAGATGATATGAAGATGAATCTTCACATAGAAATATCAAAGAAATACAGTCAACCTGAAAAAGAATTAAATTATCTATTACAAAAAATTTAAAATAGTTAACCATATCTTCAAAAATAACAACACAACTGTAAAATCAAAACTACAAAGAACCAACATTATTTACAAGTTCAAATGCCCCTAACTGTGTTCCTGAACAAAGGGAACTCATAATTACAACAGTGAAACTACTATATGCCTATCCAGATGACTTACATTACACCTACCCAACCATAGATCTATTAGAACTCATTTAAACACACACACAAACTTACCCAAGAAGATTAAAAATAAAAGCCTTCATAGCAAAAAAGAAAAAGCTAATACTCAATAATATTAACAACAAGCCTGGCCACAATGTTTGGAAAATAAAACGTCATTGTAACTCTAGATACATACATACAACTCATATATCCTGTTAAAAAGTAAAAAATAAAATCATCCTTGATAATGGATAAAAGTATAGCTGAAAGCTCTTGGAATTACAAAACATTTGAACAGTTTCTACACACTCTGTCCAGAAAAAAAAACCTGTTTGAACACAAGAAAAATTAAATAAAATGCTTAATTGTATGTATATATATATATATATATATATAAAACAAATAATTTTTTCACCCATTAAAATGGATAAATGTGATTTATTTCTATTAAATCAAATTTTTTTCTGTGCATATTTAGTTATTATGCATCTGTGTACAGTTAATTATATGAAAATTGTTTATTCATTAGTTGGAAATCGAATAAATTAAAAATTTGTATGTGCATGAATATTTGTTTCCCTCTACTGTATATGCATGTGTATATGTATAACTGTATGCATGTATAACTATATCTGTGTGTGTGTATATGTATGTATGTATGTGTGTGTGTGTATATATATATATATATATATATATACACATATATACACGAATGTAATGAGAACGAAAATAATATATAAATTCTAATGTTCACAGCATTAATTCAAAAGAGAACTCAATAACAATAGTAGAGCAATAATTATTATAATTTTTTCATATAGACAGAAACAGTTTACAGATGCACCTTGACTGATGAGAACCATAACCATTTTGGTTCTCACCACTCGAGGTGCAACTCAATGCACCAAAACGAAGTTGCATCTTTGTAGTGAGTAAACTGTTTCTGTCTATAGGAAAAAAATTTATATATATATATAGTCATCCACAGGCAGTTTTGCTGTATCAACTCTCTTCAGTGTAGCTAGACATCCAGTTGCCTCTAGCTAGGATTGAAACCCGACTGAATTGGCGTCAGTTGGAGATTCTACCACTAAGGCATCAGCGCATGGCAGAGATGAAGGTGAATTTTAGCGTATTTATTTTTAGATAAATGCACAGTGACCAAGAGGACTCAATTTGCTTTTACCAAAGAGTTTTGATATAATAGCCGTAATAATCACAGTTTACAAACTCACACTTACGCCTCCAGAGAGCTCAACTGAAATTAATTTTTTGGGAGAAGTGATTGAGACAATTTCATTTTCCTTTCAATATGAGCATTTTGTGTTCAGGCATTGATAAATGCCATAACTTCAGATACTACTTTTTAAAACAGCCAATTTTCTCATTTGCAGTCCTCTGTCCTACTGTTTTTTTCTGACTTTCTTCCTTCCTGTATTGTTGACTACTATATGAAAGAAATGTTTTTAGAATAGTTATCTGGGCAACTCTGAACATGTCATTCAGTGAACATTACATTACAAACAAATTTTATCAATTTGATAATGAATGAATAGTACCCACATTATTATTCTTCAACATGTATACATATCACTCTGTACATATTGATATTGATTTCATTTCTGTTTACTGCATGTCTCATTAACTGTAAAATTATAGTTACTTCTATTCACAGAATCAATGAATATGAATACATATATAACTGCAAAAAAATTTCTCTTTAAATTCAAAATAAAATGCTAAAAAATAAAAGCTGATACAAACATGCCGCAAATAAAAGTGATATCAGTAAATGTCTCTTCGGACATAGGTTTAATATTATTTGACTGTTATTTTCAATTGAGGCTTAAATTATGAATAAAACTGTAAATTGTTTATAATCTTCCACATGGTCATATTAAAAGATTATAGTGAAAAACAGTTTTATCTAATATAAAAGGTTGATTCATAAGTAATTTCTGTTTTTAGTAATCAGTTGTAATGATTAATATATCATCTGATATATTCTTGTTTAGCTGTGTCATAAGTAATTTCTGTTTTTAGGAATTAGTCGCATTGATAAATGTATGATCTTATAGCGATCATCATCACACACACATACATACCTATACAAATTCAAATTTCAATAACAATCATTCATTGGATAGAAATCAATGCTTCTGTCTTATGCAACAATTTTGAAATCACTATACTTTCGTATAGTAGATTTTGTGCACTTTTGGGAGAATCAGCTCCCAGAAATCTCCCCAAAGCTCATTCACTAATTGGTCAGTGACGACCAATCAGATTGTCTGCATGTGAAGAGTGATTCTTCCTGTGCAGCACTTCTGATCCAATGATCACTTATAAAAGCAAGAAAAAAGAGAAGACACACCAGTGAGACTTCAGCTGCCACAGAAATCCATGGCAGTTGAAGCTATGCGCCGATCTTCTCACTCAACACTCACAAACTGCATATTCCTTACACTTACATAATTTTCCCTCTTGCACAGCAAAACTGTTAAAAAACATTTATTAC